AAAGCAAGAGCAAACCAACCCCAAAATTAGTATAAGAAAAGAAAGAATAAAAATCAGAGAATAAATGAAATTAAAATGAAAAAATACCAAAGATCAATGAAATGAAAAGTTTATTTTTTGAAAACATAAACAAAATCTACAAAACTTTAGCCAGACTAGGGGAAAAAAAAAAAGACGATCCAAATAAATAAACTCAGAGATGAAGAAGGAGACATTATGGCCAGGTGCAGTGGCTCACGCCTGTAATCTCAGAACTTTGGGAGGCTGAGACAGGAGGATTGCTTGAGCCAGGAGTTTGAGACCAACCTGGGAAACATTGTGATACCCCCGTCTCTAAAAATAAAAAAATTAAAAAAAAAAAAAAGAAAAATGAGGCATTACAACTGATGCTGCAGAAATCCAAAGGCTCATTAGAGGCTACTATGAGCTACTATATGCCAATAAATTAAAAAAACGTAGAAGAAATGGATGAATTCCTAGACACATACAACCTATCAAGATTGAACTATGAAGAAATTCTAAACCTGAATGGACCAATAACAAGTAATGAGATCAAAACTGATATAAGAAGTAGTCTCCCAGCAAAGACAAGTCCAGGATATGATGGCTTCACTGCTGAATTTCACCAAACATTTAAAGAACTAATATTAATTCTACTCAAACTATTCTAAAACATACAGGAGGAGGGAATGCATCCGAACTCATTCAACAAGGCCAGTATTACCCCGATACCAAAACCATATAAAGATACATCAAAACAAGAAAACTCCAGGCCAATATCTCCGAGAAACATTGATGAAAAACCCCTCAAAAAAATACTAGCAAACTGAACTCAACACACATTAAAAACCATTCATCATGACCAAGTGGCTTTATCCCAGGGATGCAATGATGCTTCAACACACAAAAATCAATCAATATCGTACATCATATCAACAGAATGAAAGACAAAAACCATATGATCATTTTAATTGATGCTGAAAGGGCATTTGATAAAATTCAATATCCCTTCATCATAAAAAATTTCAAAAAACTGGGGATAGAAGGAACATACTTCCACATAATAAAAGCCATGTATCGCAGAACCACAGCTAGTATCATACTGAATGGGAAGAAACTTAAAGCTTTTCCTCTAAGGTCTGGAAAATGACAAGGATGTCCACTTTCATTGCTGTTATTAAACTGGAAGTCCTAGCTAGAGCAATAAGACAAGAGAAAGATATAAAGGGTATCCAAACTGGAAAGGAAGAAGTCAAATTATCCTTGTTTGCAGATGATTTGATCTCCTATTCAGAAAAACCTAAAGACTCCACCAAAAAAAAAACTATTAGAACTGATAAACAAAATTAATAGTTACAACACACAAAAATCAACCTACAAAAATCAGTAGCATTTTTATAGTAAAAGTGAACAATCTGAAAAAGAAATAAAAACTGATCCAATTTACAGTAGCTATAAATAAAATAAAATACCTAGAAATAAACATGACCAAAAAAATGAAAAATCTCTACAATGAAAACTATAAAATACTGATGCAAGAGGACACAAAACATATTCATGGATTGGAAGAATCAATAATATTGAAATGTCCATACTACCCAAAGCAATCCATAGATTAAATGTAATTCCTATCAAAATACCAATGACATTCTCCATAGAAAAAGAAAAAACAATCTTAAGATATATATAGAACAACAACAAAAAATCACTGAAAGCAATTCTGAGCAAAAATAACAATACTGGAGGAAATCACATTACCTGACTTCAAATTATACCACAAAGCTATGATAAGTGAAACAGCATGGTACCAGTATAAAAACAGACACATAGACCAATTGAACAGAATAGAGAACACAGAAATAAATCCATACAGCCACAGAGAACTCATTCTCAACAAAGGTGCCAAGCACATGCATTGGGGAAAGGATAAGCTCTTCAATAAATGGTGTTGGGAAAACTGGATATCCATATGCAGAAGAAAGAAACTAGGATTTTATCTCTCACCACATATAAAAATCATATCAAAAGGATTAAAGACTTAAATTTAAGACCCTAAACTATGAAACTACTACAAAAAACAATGGGGAAACTCTTTAGGACATTTATTGAGTAATATCCTACAAGCACAGGCAATCAAAGCAAACATAGACAAATGGGATCATCTCAAGTTAAAAACCTTCTGCAAAACAAAGGAAACAATCAACAAAGTGAAGAGATAACCTACACAATGAGAAAATATTTGCAAACAATTTATCTGACAAGAGATTAATAACCAGAATATATTTAAGAAGCTCAAACAACTCAATAGGAAAAAATCTAATAATCTGATTTAAAATGGGCAAAAGATCTGAATAGACATTTCTCCAAAGAAGACATACAAATGTCTTCTTTTGTCTTATTGACAACAGCCATTTTAACATGTGTGAAGTAACTGCTTATCGTGGGTTTTTTAAAATGCCAAACAAGCAAATGAAAAGGTTTTCAACATCACTCATTACCACAGAAAGGCAAATAAAAACTACAATAAGATATCATCTCACCCCAGTTAAAAAAGCTTTTATCGAAAAGACAGGCAATAACAAATGCTGGTGAGGATGTGGAGAAAAAGGAATCCCTGTATACTGTTGGTTGGAATGTCAATCAGTACAGTCTCTATGGAAAACAGTACGGAGTTTCCTAAAAAATAAAAACCAAAAATAGAACTACCATATGATCCAGCAATCCCACTAGTAGGTGTATACCCAGAAGAAAGGAAAGTAGTATATCAAAGAGATAGCTCCACTCCCATGCTTGTTACAGTACTATTCACAATAGCCAAGATTTGAAAGCAACCTAAGTATCCATCACCAGATGAATGAATAAAGTAAATGTGGTACATATACATGATGGAGTACTATTCAGTCATAAAAAATAATGAGATTCTGTCATTTGCAACAACATGGATGGAACCGAGGACATTATGTTAAGTGAAATAAGCAAGACGCAGGAAGACATGTCCTCACTCATTTGTGGAGCTAAAAATTAAAACAATTGAATCCATGGGGATAAAGAGTGGAATGTTAATCACCATTAACTAGGAAAGGATTGGGAGGGAGAGAAGTGGGGATGGTACAAATATATAAATAGAATGAATAAGATCTAATATTTGATAGCACAAAAGGATGACTACAGTCAACAATAATTTACTGTACATTTTAGAATAACTAAGAGTATAATTGGATTGTTTGTAACACAAAGAAAGGATAAATGCTTGAGTTGATGGGTACTCTACTTACCCTGATGTGATTATTGCACATTGAATGCCAGTATCAAATATCTCATGTACCCTATAAATATATACACCTACTATGTATCCATAAAAATTAAAAATTAAAAAACACACTCCCAGTGTGGTGGCTCATGCCTATAATCCTAGCATTTTGGGAGTCTGAGGCAGGTGGATTACCTGAGGTCAGGAGTTCGAGATTAGTCTGATCAACATGCCAAAACCCTGTCACTACTAAAAATACAAAAAAAAAAAAAAAAATCCCAGCTACTTGGGAGACTGAGGAAGGAGAATTGCTTGAACCCAGGAGATGGAGGTTGCAGTGAGCCAAGATCATACCATTGCACTCCAGCCTGGGCAACAAGAGCTAAACTCCATCTCAAAAAAAAAAAAAAAATTAAAAACACAATAAGCTGTTACTTCACCCATGCTAAAATGCCTATTATCAATAAGACAAACAAGTGCTGGTGAGGACGTGGAAAAAAGAGAACCCTTGTACACTGTTCGTGGCAATGTAAATTAGGATAGCCATTATGAAAAACAGTATGGAGTTTCTTCAAAAAATTAAAAATAAAACAACGATCATATGATCCAGCCATCTCACTACTGGATATGTTACCTCCAAAAAATGAAGTCAGTATGTCAGAGAGATACCTACACTACCGTTATTCACAAGAGCCAAGATATGGAAGCAATCTAAGTGTCCATGAATAGATGCATGAAGAAAAAACTGTGGCATACGTATGCAATGGGATACTATTCAGCCTTAAAAATCAGGAAATTCTATCATTTGCAGCAACATGGATGGAACTGGAGGACTTTACACTAAGTGAATACATCAAGCACAGAAAGACAAACAGTAAATGATCTCACTAATAGATCAAATTTTTAAAAGTTAAACTTGTGGAAACAGAGAGTAGAATTGTGGTTATGTGAGTTAGGTAGAGGGTATGGTAGGAGAGATGTTAGTCAAAGGATACAACATTTTAGTTAGATACGAAAAAGTTAAAGAGATCTATTGTACAACATAGTGACCATGTTAATAACAATATTTTATATTCTTGAAAATTGCTAAGATAGATGTTAAGTTTTCATCACAAAAATAATTGAGATAACACATATGTTAATTAAATCAATGTAACCATTCCACAATGTATATGTATTTCAAAACAATATGTTGTACATGAAAAGTACATACAGTTTGTCAATGAAGATTAATTAATGAAAAATAATTTGTATGGCTCTCTCCTATATTTATCATGTCTAGAAAACTGACTACAATATATGGTTTATTGTGATTAATACTGTGACCAAATTTAATACATCCACATATAGTATAGTTACATATTGTATAACATAAACTAATATGTAATACAACATAATACAACAAATATTAAAACATTAAATTTTAAGTATCTTTAACAAATTTTAAAATTTCTAATATGTCAATTTACTAAAAACATCATTCGGGGCTGGGCACGGTGGCTCATGCCTTAATCCCAGCACTTTGGGAGGCTGAGGCAGGTGGATCACCTGAGATCAGGAGTTCGAGATCAGCCTAATACGGTGAAACCCTGTCTCTACTAAAAATACAAAAATTAGCCAGGTGTGGTGGCAGGCGCATGTAATCCCAGCTACTCGGAAGGCTGAGGCAGGAGAATCACTTGAACCCAGGAAGTGGAGGTTGCAGTGGGCCAAAATCGTGCCACTGCACTCCAGCCTGGGTGACAAGAGCAAAACTCTGTCTCAAAAAACAAACAAAAAAACAAAACATATCATTTGGAAACCAGTACAAGTAGAAATTTTCCATTCTCCAATAATTAGTACCACAAGTATATGAATCAGACAATAAATTACTGCTTACTACACTGTTCTAACTTAGTATGACGCTAAATAATTATATAAATGTCAAAGGTATAATCTTTAGCCAAAGGTAAATTGTACTTTCTTGTTTTAAAAAGTTTATCACTCTTTTTTCTAGTGACCAGTTTAAAATGGTTTCTACATTAGGTAGTAATGAGTTTATGTAACATGTCTACACACTAGTATTTTTGCTTCCATTTTGTTTAAAGTGCTTTCCAGCATTCTCAATGTCATGATTGACACAGAGACAGATAATATGCACATGGCGCATTGGGAGCACTGGGATAAACAAAGATGTTCTTCCCAGACTCTGCAGATTTTGGCTTAAAGAGCTTTCAGCAAACTTCTATGAGAATGAATCATGGTCAAAGTAAGCATTAGTTTAAATAAAACAGAGTTTATGTTCCTCATTAGTAACTGTTAACTTACAGATTACCAGAGTTACCAATATTAGCCCAAGTTAAAATGTTACTTTGAGACTATGAATGACACATATATATTTAACTTAATCATTCCAAAGCCTGCCCTCTTTCATTTTTACCTTGCAAACTCCCCAAGGGTAGTGACGGCCTCTGACCATCCTTTCTGCAACTTTCACTTCATCTATACTCCCCACTACAGCAAAGGGTAACAGCACCTAGAAAACAAGAATATCAATTGAATTCTCTAGCACCAATAGAGCTCACTCTATTACTCTCACTACTGTTATAAAAATGACAGTGATGATGATATTGTAATAAACTTAATTAGGGATCTACCCTGTATCTCATTTTAAGACTTAACAATATGCGCCAATTAGTTTCTGTCAGCATCAGTCTCAGGCTGTGCACACAGTTGGAAACTGTCTACTGAGCAGAGCCTAAAGCAAGGTATCCTGCTGTGGGAAACACAAAGAAAAAAGATTTTTAGTAGACATCATTTTTCTCACACTATCTTTACCCTGAACCATCTTTACCCTGAATGTTGAAGAAATAACATACAAATAACTTGTAACTCTGGTATAAAGTTCAAAGACAAAAATATTAAAAATAACAACAACTATTAGAATAATTAATGGATACAAGATAAAATGTATTAATAAGCAATACTGTATATACCTCGATAAATTATGTTTGTTTTTTTGAGACAGAGTTTGGCTCTGTCACCCAGGCTGGAGTACAGTGGTGTGAGCTTGGCTCACTGTAACCTCCACCTTCCAGTTTTGAGCAATTCTCCTGCCTCAGCCTCCCTAGTAGCTGGGATTACAGGCACCTGCCACCACGCCTGGCTAATTTTTGGATTATTTAGTAGACCCTGAGTTTCACCATGTTAGCTAGGCTGGTCTTAAACTCCTGACCTCAGGTGATCTGCCCACCTTGGCCTCCCAACGTGCTGGGATTACAGGCATGAGCCACCATGCCCAGCAAAAAGAATTTTTTAAATTTTATAGTACTTAGCATTTCAATTCAGAAATCTATTTAGTGTTTCAGTTATCTTAAAATAAACGAGGTGTTTCACACACACACACACACAAAATAAGAAATAAAAAAAGGATGTGTAAATAAGAAAAGAGAAATGGAAGAAATGGAATTAACAGTTACAGTTTAGACTCCGTGTTTCAGATCCTTTACAAAGATTTTGGCACTTACACCTCACAAAAAAAAAAAAAAAAAAAAAAAAAAAAAAGCCGGGCACGGTGGCTGAAGGCTGTAAACCCAGCACTTTGGGAGGCCGAGATGGGCGGATCATGAGGTCAGGAGATCGAGACCATCCTGGCTAACACGGTGAAACCCCGTCTCTACTAAAAAATACAAAAAACTAGCCGGGCGCGGTGGCGGGCGCCTGTAGTCCCAGCTACTCGGGAGGCTGAGGCAGGAGAATGGCGTAAACCCAGGAGGTGGAGCTTGCAGTGAGCTGAGATCCGGCCACTGCACTCCAGCCTGGGCGACACAGCGAAACTCCATCTCAAAAAAAAAAAAAAAAAGCCTTAATAGAGGTGTCATTGATCCCATAGCATAGATAAGTTAACAGTCTCAGGGAAGATGAGTGAATTGTGCAGGATCTCTTGGCTTTTAAGTAGAGAAGATAGGATGGAAATCTAAATCTACATACTTGCAAAATTTATATCTTTCAGCCAGGCATGGTGGCTCATGCCTATAATCCCAGCGCTTTGACGGGCCGTGGTGGGCAGATCACCTGAGGCCAGGAGATCGAGACCACCCTTGCCAACATGGTGAAACCCCATCTCTATTAAAAACACAGAAATGAGTTGGGTGTGGTGATGGGCATGTATAATCCCAGCTACTCAGAAGGCTGAGGCAGGAGAATTGCTTGAATCCAGGAGGCAGAGGTTGCAGTGAGCTGAGATCACGCCATTGCACTCTGGCCTGAACAACAAGAGCAAGACTCCATCTCAAAAAAAATAAATAAATAAAAAGTAGTCATCTTTCACATTTTAAGCTAATATGTTAGGTATTTACTACCAAAAAATATTTATACAAATAAAGAGTTTAGTCATCTTTACTACTGCCCTGACTCTAAAACCAGAGACAACACAGCAGTCCGCATCCAACCCCCATCTATTTGTTTTGAGGCAAGTGCATTTGAGAGTTGGAGGCTCCCTTTTAACACTCAAGACCTACTTGTGAAACAGGGGCCCTGCCTTCGATGCAGCAAATGGAGAAGATGGGGTCCCTGACCATCCTTGCCTAGTTCATGAGGCAGTGGCTCATTATGTGGGGAAGCAATCCAAAGAACCTCAGACTGCTGCTCCTCCACAATGAGCTCTAGGTTACCAGCGGGTGCCTGAAGCTTGGGGGGGGCGGGGGGGGGTAACCTGTCATTGTTTCCACCCACAATTACAGAACACTGCCTCAGAGATTTTGCCTTGGAGGGAAACAGGCCATGAAACAGAGAAAGCCCATCCAAAAATTTAAATGTCATCCCAAGGGACCTGAACAGCCAAAAAAAAAATTGAAAAGAAAGACCAAAGTTAGAGGTCTCACACTTCTAGAATTCAAAACATATTACAAAGCTACAGTAATTAAAATAGTTTGGAAGTGGCATAAAGACAGACAGGTAGACCAATGGAATCAAATACAGATCTCAGAGTTAATCCTTCCTTAACTATTCTTCTATTGATAGACATTTGGGTTGCTTGCAGCTCTCAGCTACTGTGAATAATAACACAATTTATATGCCTTTACAAGTATCTAAGACCCTGCTTTCAATTCCTTCAGATATATACCCAGAAACAGGATTGTGAGATCATATGGTAATTTTATTTTCAATTTTGTAGAAACCACCTTTATTAGTCTGTTTTCACACTGCTGATAAACATATACCCGCAACTAAGAAGAGAAAGAGGTTTAACCGGACTTACACTTCCACATGGTTGGGGAGGCCTTAGAAGCATGGTGGGAGGTGAAAGGCACTTCTTACACAGCAGCAGCAAGAGAAAATTAGGAAGAAGCAAAAGCAGAAACCCCTGATAAACGCATCAGATCTTGTGAGACTTATTCACTATCACGAGAATAGCATGGGAAAGACCAGCCCCCATAATTCAATTACCCTCCCCTGGGTCCCTCCCAAAACATGTGGAGATTCTGGGTGACATAATTCAAGTTGAGATTTGGTGGAGACACAGCCATACCACACCACCACCGTACTGTTTTTCATAGTGGTTCCACATGAGAAAAACTATAAAACTCCATTGAAAAAACCAGGGACAGGCTGGGCGCCGTGGCTCACGCCTGCAATTCCAGCACTTTAGGAGGACAAAGCAGGTGGATCACCTGAGGTCAGGAGTTCAAAACCAGCCTGGCCATCATGGTGAAACCCCATCTCTATTAAAAATACAAAAAAAAAAAAAAAAAAAAAAAAAAAGAAAGAAAAAGAAAGAAAACAAAAGAAAAACTCAGGGACCATTTAAATAAATGGAGAGACATTCCATGTACATGGATATAAAGACTCAATATTGTCAAGATGTCAATTTTCCATAACTTAACCTATGAATTCACCACAATCCCAATCAAAATTTCACCAAATTATTTTGTAAATAATAAACTAACTCCAAAATTTATATGAAAAAGCAAAAGAACTAGAATAGCCAACATAACATTGAAGAACCAAGTTGGAAGACATACTATTCAACCTCATGATTTACTACAAATCCATAGTAATCAAAACAGCATGGCATGAGCAAAATGATAGACAAACAGATCAATGGAACAGAATAGAGAGCCCAGAAATATGCCTACACAAATATAGTCAATTGATATTTGGCAAAGAAGCAATGGGAATTCAATGGAGAAATGATATTCTTTTCAACAAATGGTGCTGGAACTGGATATTCACATGCAAAAATAAGAATCTATAAACAGACGTTAGATATTTCACAAAATTAACTCAAACCAGATCATAGGCCTAAATGTAAAGCATAAAATGATAAAATTCCTGGAAGATAATGTAGAGTCCTAATTAGGGAAGGGCAGTCAGGCTGGTGGGAGCAGGGGAAACCAAAAACAGGGAAGCAGATAAGCTACAAGTCTTTCTTCATAATTCAGAACACACAGCTCGCCTGCACAAACAACGCACAATCTTCCTGTGCCTGGCTACCAGCAGACCCTCGGTTGATTAAAAAAATGGAAAGTTAGCTCACTGCACTGATAGCGGCAGGAGGCAGACAAATGCCTAGGCAGATAGGGGCAAGTCCCCAGGGAAACCCCACCTCCAAGCCAAGGACAGTTTAAACCCTGAAAGCCAAGCTACAAGTCAAATCCATGGACTGGACTGAGAAGCTGCCTCCCTGCCTGGTGCTCTTTCCTCTGACTGATCCCCACCCTTCACCTGGTTTACATACACCTATACTTCCTAATTGTTTTTTCACATTGTTGTGCCCACCTTTGGGTGGTGCCTTTGTTTTAACCTTTTTGCATACTCATAAACCAATCAGCATGTACTCCCCTGTTCTGAGCCCATAAAATCCCGGGGCTTAGACACACAAGGAGAGAAACTGCCCCCAGGTCCCCTCTCCAATGACAGCTATTCCATCACTCAATAAAATTCTTCTCTGCCTTCCTCATCCTTCAATTGTCAGGGTATCCTCATTCTTCTTGGACATGGGAAAAGAGCTCGTGAACCCCCCCATCTCAGGTAGAAGCTGTAACACGGCAGGCTGGGGCATGCTGGTCCAGCCACAGGCAGAGCCGCTGTGCAAGCCAGACTGGGCCAAGTGAATGGAAAGCCTCCTGTGTGGCAGGTAGCGTGCCCAAGCAAGGCCCAGGTGGGTTTGTCACTGGCCAGAGGTCCCTGGCTGGCAAAATGACTGAGAATAATCTTGCATCACAACCTTGGCATTATCAGCACTACAGAAAGCCCTCTTCAGCATACAGCCTAAGAACTAGCCTATAAAATCTCAGGCAATCCTTTGTTTGCAGTCAGCTTCTTTCTTGCAAGCTGCCTATTGCTTCCCTAGCAATGTATTTTCCTACTTTCTTTAATAAGTCTACCTTCCCTACCTACAACAAGGTAAACTTTTTTTTTTTTTTGAGAGAGTCTCACTCTGTCACTCAGGCTAAAGGGCAGTGGTGCAATCTTGGCTCACTGCAACCTCTGCCTCAACAAGGAAAATTCTTTTTTTTTTTTTTTTTTTGCAGACAGAGTTTTGCTCTTGTTGCCCAGGCTGGAGTGCAATGGAGTGATCTTGGCTCACGGCAACCTCCGCCTCCCAGGTTCAAGCGATTCTCCTGCCTCAGCCTCCCAAGTAGCTGGGATTACAGGCATGTGGCAACACGCCCAGCTAATTTTGTATTTTTAGTAGAGGCAAGGTTTTAACCATGTTGGTCAGGCTAGTCTCAAACTCTCGACCTCAGGTGATCCACCCACCTTGGCCTCCCAAAGTGCTGGGATTACAGGCATGAGCCACCAAACCCAACCGATAAATTCTTTTATGCCTACACCACCAGTCCACAGGGTCATCATTCCCTTGCAACAGATAACATAAAAGGAAATGTAGGTGACTTTGGGTTTAGCAATGACTTCATCGATATAATACCAAAAACATCATCGATGAATGGAAAGAATTGATGAGTTGGACTTCATTAAAACTAAAACTTCTGCTAGCAAAAGACACTGTTAAAGATAACAAGATAAGCCACCGACTGAGAGAAAATCTTTACACAACACACACTTCAAGAAGCA